TCTCCAGGGTGTTGCATATGGCAATCTGCGCTAGCCGTCTGGGATGCGACTCCTGCTTCAAGAGTAGTGATAAAGTTTCTCGCACTCACTGTCGTTGTGGGAAGCAGACTGTTGTTGAAGTGTTATTATTAATGAGAATTACTGCTGGACAGCTTGAACTAGAGGATAATTTATTCTCCGTGAACTTCTAATTGCAGTAAACCGGTTCATTCACTGCCACACTTGTCCATCTTGTTTGTTCCTGTCTTTCAGCCACGGTTGGCTGCAACGGAATAAGGCAGAACTGCACTAGGCGCATGAAGAAAAAAAGTTTGCATCTCTGGACACACCATGGAAATGGGTCAGAACAGTCTAACTCTAAGAGAGGCTTGGGAAAGGGAAAAAAAATCAGTCTGTTATACACGAGGGGGTCATAATCAACTCATGCAAATCAAGGCACCTACTATGTGCAAGGCATTGCACTACAGTTGAAATCCATGTTTCCAGATGGCCACTGACTACACTGACATTTGATGTGTGCACTTTCCCCTCTGGCATTTCTGAAAGAGAACTCTTTCTCTTATTTTAAAATTCAGCATGTCCTCTCCACTCACTTTCTCATTTTACTTCGATAGATTGCTTGGGGGAAATTAAAACTGTTCTTGATGTTTTCTTGGTGGTATCTTAGATGATAAAACACCCTCCCCCTGATTTTTGCTAAATTCCTGCCTCCCATGGATTTCATTCTTCTCCTTCTTTTTTTTCCCCTGATAGAATCATAAAATTGTTGCCTTGCTCTTTGCATAAATGTCATGAAATATGTCCCTGACTTGCTGCTACCATGGTAATAGACACTTGTTGTAGGCTATTGACTCATTACTCTATTTACATGCGATTTGGTCACTTGTGGGTTGGCAGGCTTCAGAACAACCTGATTCTCAGCCAGTAAATGGATTCCAACCTGTCTGTGATGGATGATAGATTAGAGTTTGGGTGCTGTTATTATTTAATAGTTAGTAAGGTCTCTGAGTGGGCTAATGACAGTGCATCAACTGGGGAAATGATTCCGGGTATTGATTAGCATATATTTTACTATGGATGACCTTAGTGGGACACACAGCCAGAGAGAGGGACTAGGGAGTCTTGTCATCCAGATCCTTGATTGTCCTAGATCATTTTATACTTGGTGGAAAACAGGGCTGAAAGGATCCTGGGGAGTGCCTGTGTAGGTGCTAAGGAAACAGCCTTGTTGACCTCCACTTCCCATCTTGACTAATGATGACTGTTTTATGCAAGAAACAGATGGTTTACATTGAGATTTGTGGGACAATGGAAAAATACCCATCTAACAATTCTTAAGTAAATGTACCTGCTCACTGCTATAAAGAGTTGTGTCTTTGTGCATAAGTAAGAGACAAGTCATTATTTATGAAAGGGGAAGAAAGGGCACACCCAGGGAGTGTTGAGAGTTATCATTTTGATTCAGTAATTTTTCATGGAGTAAGTCATATTCTTATGTGTTGAGAGATAAATAATGAAATCCATTGTGCTAAGGTGTCTCCCTTAAAATTCCACTGAGCATATAATATCTAAAAAAAACTGTTGTAGACAAGAGTTATGCTGAGAGGCAGCTAGGTGGAGGGAACTAGCTCCCAGATTTTGCAGCTAGAGCCCTTGTGCTCTGGCTTTGTCCACCCAGCTTGCATAACCTGTGGAATGTTTTTAACACCTCTATGCTTCAGTTTCTTATCTATAAGGTGGAGCTAGTAATTGCACTTAACTCAGGGTTATTGTGATGGCTAAATGAGCTAAAATACCCAACAAGAAGAACTGCATCTCAGGCTTAGCATGTAGTATGAGAATTTTCACAACTACTAATTAGATTTTGGAATACATATATTTCATTCAAATTGTTCTTTATCAAGGTACTTTGGAACCAACTGTAGCATGCCCAGGTCATTTTGATGAAAGGAGAGCTGAAAGAACAGTTTTGTGTTGGGACCCATCTCCGAATGTGGCCATTTTGAGTGGGTTTTCAATGGGGTGAATTCACAGGAGAATGGTGCCTGGCTCCAAAGGGCAAGGTGAGTGGGGGAAAAGAGACATTAGACAGATGATTTTTTTTTAACGATTTTATTAGTGTCTCTCACTTTGATGTGATCTTTCTTCCCATTCTCGTTGCCTTTTGGATGATGTAGAGAGAGTTGCTTTGAAGGGGTTGCAGATGATCCAGTACTGGTGACATTATGAATGTTGTTTGTAGAAGGAGCTGGCCCTTGAGGGGCAGGCAGACCAAGGTTCAGGTCCTATCTGGGTCACCTGCTTTCTCTGTAACTCTTGATAAATCACTTACTGTCTCAGAGTTGCAATTTCTCATTTACCAAATGGGCATGCTAAAATGTGCCTGCCTCCCCGAGTGCTGGTGCTGATCAAACGTGATAATATGTGTGTGACAGCAACTTGTAAACTGTAAAGGGTGACATAGATATGAGCTGCTGTTATTAGTGATTCCTTTAATTTCCTTGCTCTCTACAAGCAGACCTGAATTTAGCAGCACCTGTGTGCTGTCATCACTTGGTAGCTGATTTTATTTGAAGCTTTTACTCATAAGCCCGTGACCAGTAATTGTACACTGGCTTCTCTTGCAGTAAAGATGGTATATGACCATTGCCGGATTGATCCAGGGGACCAATGCAGAAGCTCTGTTCTCATAGAACAAGGAATTCTGACAGTTTTCAGAAGAAGTTGTTCTCTCTCCTTCCATTTGTAAATCACATATTATTAATAGGAAACTTATTGGAATCATGAACTGTTTGGTGCTATTGTTACTCTGAGAGTTGATAAAACACTCAGAAACCAAGGGAATTAGAGGTTGGCCAGGGTGGAATGAATGCTATAAATCAAGATTACCTGAAGGGGATATGAGAGATAAGGGATTAAGCCGAGCACAGAGATAACAAGGGGGAAGTATCCAAAAAGCTTGGGAAAAAAAAAAAATCTCCCACCTTCCAGGAACAAATCTGAGTGTTATTTTGTGCTCTTAAGAAAAAAGTCACACTGATAGAAACATTTTCACTGATAAATTCATGTAATAAGAGTATGTTTTTCGTCATTTTGTATGCACAGGCTCAATGCAGTAATTTTTGGCTGCATCGAAGTATTACAAGAAAAAAAAGGAAGAGGAAAGAGATGTCACTGTCAGTTGTGGACAGGATCCCATGGGGTCAGACCTGTGCTCTGTGGGTCACAGAACACATTTTCAAAAATCTTGCCTTTCAGGTCTCACTCATGGACAGAAATAGAGCACAGAAGAAGCTTCTTAGAGAAGACTGCATTTTTCCAACCTTTCACCACCACTGAAAACTGGAGCAAATGAGTGGCTGGTATAGACCCTTGGCACCAAGTGGCTGGAGTAAATGGAACACTGCAGGGACACAGAACTTTGCCGCCACTGAGCATATTACCAGAGAAGTACAGTACGGAGCCCAGCAGGCTTCTGCAAACAACGCATCCCTTTAAGTTAATTGGTGTTATATAGAAGCTGAAATGCTCCGCTTATTTACAAAGCTACAGATTTATGTAAAGCAAAACCAATTACACTTAATGCCTAAACTATTCCAGGTGCTCAATGATAATGTTGCTAGGCACTAGAGAAGAAACTGCTGTGTGAATGCATCCTGTTCCGAATGGAAGCATGTGTAGTTACCGCAATTTAGCTAATCACAAGTGTCAACCCCAATGTGAGAATTCTAAGCTCTTTTGGTGTTTGCTTTGGGTCAACTTTATAATTCTGTAGATCTTTCATCTCAAAGGGCAAGCGAAAGCATAATGAGCACTTTTTTATTGTAAAAAAACATTAAGAAATTAAGGTGATGAAGGCAAATTGGGGTGGGGGAGGGGGTAACAAAATAAGGCAGATTCTTTTTCTAAGAGGGATTGAGACTGTTAGAGCTTCCCATTTGTACTGAGATGAGGTGTCCAGAGGTTTCTTGATCTTTTGGGCGTTCATTAAACCCAAATTGCAAACTTGGCATTTAACCTTTTGCAGTAAGGAAAGCTTCTAAGGCATATTAGGGGTCTGCCTCATTGCTTAGCCAGGGAACAAATGCTAAACAAAGAAGGATTCAAAAAGCAAGGAAAGAATTTATGCCTGCAAGAGTCTATTTGCTTGTCCTCAAAACAAACAAGCAAACAACAAAAAAAATAATTTGAGTAAGAGAAACACCTGGTGCTTTACAGCTGCTCTTTTGCAATTAAAAATGCATATCATACCTAATCAAGTTGAATAAATCTTTTATTCTACAGATTTATAATATTTTATGTATACACAGGGGAGGTGCTTAATTGCAGAATCATTTGCAATCAGCTGACAGACCCTCCTACTCTATCCAGCATGAACCATCCTGGAAAGCGGTGCCTCTCAAACTTTAGGGAGCATAAGAATGATTTGAGTGTTTTTGCCCACCAATTCCAGGACCTCAATCTGAAGAAGATGTGGGTTAAAGCAGTCTGTCTAGGGCCAAGAAATATTTACCTGAAGCAGGCAGCCTTCAACCAAACTTTGATAAACACTGTGACAAAGAGGAGAGCCATTTTGATTAAAAGAAAGGTGTCCAAATTTCTTTGATTATTAAAAAAAAGAAATCCTTTTGGAAGATGATTTTTCCAAATGCATTTGATTTGTAGCAGTGGAGACCAAATGATGTCATTTGGGTCAGGGAATCCCTGTAAGTGTCTCTACTTGGTTTGGTCATTTACCCTCCTCTCAGCACTAGTTTGACCTTCCATAAATTCTCTTTTCTTTAATCCTAATAAATTCTATCATCTATATTGATCTTTCAACTTCTTCAGTGTGTAGATAGTCTCTCTTTGTTAAAGACCTCATTTTAGCAACACTGATTTTGAATTCAGAGAAAATTTCCTTAAGTTTTATCTTGAAAGTGTTATATCAAGATCCAATATAGCAGAAAAACACATAAATTTTACTCAGTCTTATATAGTATATGGTCATAACACCTGAACAGCAATAAAGGCCTAAAAAATGTACTGAAAGAAAGAATATTAACATACTATTATTTTGCCTCTAATGACTTGTTAAAACTCTAAAAATATCTTACAGGTTGCTTTTAATGGCTGAACCATCGTAAAAAGCTATAAAATATTATTGGCATATAGGAAATTGTCATTTTCTGATGAGAGGAATTATCTATACTTTGAAATTACTTTATTAATATTAATGCATAGCATGTTAATGCACAAGCATACTGGTTAACTTCTATAAGGGTCATAATTGTTTTTTAAATAAAGTACACAGATAATATTCATAGATTTGTTCTCCTACATATTATCTCTCATACTAAAATGCATACAAATGTTCAACTGAAGAAAAAAACAACAAATACTGTATTCATAAGACAGGTAGAGTCAAATACAGTTTCATAGGGCTGTCTCCCAAAGATCAATACTTGAAGAAATTTCCTGTGTGCTGCCATAAAATTTCAGAGACTTTTCATGGAGGAGAAGTGTTTCTTCAAGATTACTTCCACTGATGTTCTGGGCATTAAAATGATTTAGATTACAATATCTAAAAAAGAAAGAAAGAAAGCTTTTCTTAGGACCAGATGTAGATGACTTGATAAATCATTTGCTTTCCTCCTGTACTTGTCTACCTTTTATGACGGGTTCGTAGATACTGGCACAACGGGATGATTATTTAAGAGTGCTGTTCACCAGAACAGTCTTTTTATAAAATGGCAGGAGGAGTTTTAGTACACATTAAGGCTCTCATAAGGACCTTTAGGTGGTGCTCTCTTATAACCTGCACTGAGTCCCTTCAATGCTGCCAGTGAGACTGTGGAACCCTGTTGACCTTATGGATTTGGCATTTAACATTTTGCAGCAAGGGAAAAAGTTGCCTGCACCCATAAAGACTTATGAGATGCACTGAGGACTTGTAGACATGGTGTTGAGACTATTTGACTATTTTAGGCCATTGTCAAAGAAGGGATCCATGACTATATTTCTAGAATGTTCACTCTTCCACCCTCAACTCCTTGCCTTTCCTGAGTGTCTTGTAAATACCAGACACCATGCCAGGGAGGTATGGAATCATCCCCACATCACAGATTGGAAAACTGAAGTTCTTAGGGCTAAATAGATTTTTTAGGGTTTATATAAATAGCAGTAGGCAGAGCCTGGCTTTAAAACCATTACTTGATTATTTTAAATCCTCGACTTTTTCTATGGCATGCTGGTCCTAAAATTATCTAAAATTATCCACTGTATTCCTAGTGCCTACACCAGGACTTAATATGCTGCTGATGTTCAATAAATATTTATCCAAGAAACAAAGAAATATGATCTAGAAGTTCAATTTTATCAAATATACATAGGATTACCAAGACCAAGACCAAACAGAAGATCGATTTTTGATACTAGAAGGTTTCAGAAGCTAATTGTACCTTTGTTTCCTTCTCAATATATTGCTAAAAATAACTTCAGGAGAACGAATACCACCTGAATAACTGATTATTTCTCTCTGATTTATGTTGCTTTCAATAATTGTTACAGGTTATGCACAGATAATTACTTGTTATCATTGACAAAATAAGGGCAGCAATAGCACCTTTAGATGTATTTTACAACACTGGAAGGACAGTGGCATTGTTATAAAAATCAATGCTCTCTTGCCCCTTGCCCCCAAACACCTTTATTTTTATTTTAGCATCCAATATGGGATACATTTTTACATTAAGCACATTAAGTATATTTACCTAATATTACTTTTCAGCAGGGAAAAGACATTTCATCTGCTTCATTCCTTCACCCCCAAACAGGCTAGCTTCAAGTATAACATGTAACCACTGCACTGTATCAGATGTGATTGAAGAGAACTCTGCTATCTATAGCAGGAGGCCAGAGGCTGTTTTCCCTTTGTCTTTGGTTTTGGTTCATGTAAGAGGTAATTCTGGTCTGACATTCATGGATAATTTCTAACTGTATTCTGCTGGGGATTTGAGGTGATGTCCCAGTGACCCTGACAAACTTACTTGGGTTTTAGGATTAACACTAGGTTTGTATCCCATGGATATATGTGGGAGGAGCACCTTTTGGTACTAATACAGACCTAAGGTCACCTGAATATTAGTAAGGATGTTGTTTCATTATTAATTCACTAACTTCAGTAGGACTGCTCTGTTTTTGATAGATTTGCCACAATTACCTGGCTCTGAACAGGTAAATCCTTGGATTTGATAAAAATTGGATTGTGATAGGAAGTGTCCTGAGATCAATCCTGACTTATAAACAACATATTTCAATAATACTGTCCCTGGGACATGGTGAATCTCATTCTTTGCATCCTCTGATTCATTAGTGCTTGACAATAATAGTATAGAAATAAGTTGGAACCATGCCCTCCTCACTGTGGACACTCATCTCACCCCCTTCCATTCCGTAGGGCTCTTGGCTAACTTCTGACTTGGTCTGTGCAATCACAATGGCCAATAGGTCCCCAGGGAAGTGCATGCTTTCACACTGACATAGTTGGTTCTACCTATTACTCTTTGAGCCAAATTTTCTGCATTCTCCTTTCTTCTTGTGCAACATCCATTCTTTTCCTGTGGGGCTGCTGATCAACAAGTGGCAATGAGTGTCGTTACTTTAATTAAAGGGACTAGTTTTCCCCCAAAAGACAAGAGTTAGGGGTTATCACCCTTGTCTGGTACTTAGAAGGAGTTCCTATACTCTTAGGAGTATAGGAGAATGGGCTTTGGAGACAATCAAATTTGTGTTTGAGTTACTTTATTAATATTAATGCATAGCATGTTAATGCACAAGCATACTGGTTAACTTCTAGAAGGGTCATAATTGTTTTTTAAATAAAGTACACAGATAATATTCATAGATTTGTTCTCCTACATATTATCTCTCATACTAAAATGCATAAAAATGTCCAACTGAAGAGTATGAGAATGTGGTAAATTTGATTACTTGTCTTTGCATTTTAGTTTTTGTATTTACACAGTGGTAAGATCTATGTGACAGGGAGGTGTTGGAAATTAAATGAAGTTGTTTGTATGTATATAGCATGCTAAGACACCATATGCTTGATACATGGAAAATTAATTGTCCTTCATTCTTTGTTTTCTACTTTCTCCCCTCCTCCCCTCCCTCTCCTCTCCTCCTCCTCCTCCTTTTCTTCTTCTTCTCTCTTTTAACCACACCCCACCCCCACCCCCATCTCTTCCCTAAAAATATGTAGGAGAAAAGAAAGTAGACAAGAGATGGAGGCGATCTTGAAAGAATTAGATTTATTTTTGAATAAACTCTACATTATTACTTAGTACTTTAACGTTAGTTCCTCCAATCTCCAGTGCCTGGTATATTTTTATTCTTATCTCCTTCTCTATCTCTCAATTCCTTCCAGGAATTAATTTGTTGAACAATCACACTTGAATATTTTAATTTGAGCACTCATGTTAGCTTCATGTAGGCTGGTACTTTGCTTGGTTTAACTCTGTTTCTCTGATACATGGAACAATGCTTATCATTTTGGTTTAATGCATGAATGAATGAGTAAATCCCTGGGCTAGTAGATTCTGATTCCAGTGCAAGTTCTATCTGAACTGAGTCCAAAATCATGGTACTCTTGGTCACACCTCAGTATAGGTCTAGGAGAAGAATAAAAGGGAGGAAGAGGGGATCATAAGGCTAAGTCTGAGTCTATTATTATTATTATTGCTAACATTCTACATAACAGCTGTATGGACCAATTACTATTCTTTCTGTTTCTATTTTACAAACAAAGAAGCCCAGGCTTAGAGAGGTTAAACAGTTCCTGAAGTTCATACAGCTGATAAGTTGTGGAAGTGGATCTAACTAAGCTGACTCTGGAAACCACCTTCTAAACCACTTCATGGAAAACAAGGTCAAATCGTACAGAAGGGTAAAGAATGAGAATTTGAGAGACAGTGCAGATTTGTGTGAGTTGACAGATGGACATTCCTAATGAGTTTGGAGAGGTGGATGAAGAGGAAAGAGACTTTGCCTTCAATTTCAGTTTCCATTACTGAATCTGGTTTGCTGCAAAGCTGAGGAAATTCCTGTCAGATCTTTCTGTAACCCTCAGATTCTCTGATTTCATTTTCAATCTAAAAATGAGACTGGCACTTAAGGAAGAACAATTTGAGAACTCATATACTTTGGAGGGTAAGAAATGCAGTAATCTAGGGAGCCTTAGGCTTTTAGTTTTGCTGCCCATTCCACCTTGCATGGGGTTTAAGTACCTCTCACCCTGGACCATGAGCTCCATGAGAGCAGGAGCATGGACGTCATTCTATGAGCATTCATTCCCTTACTGGCTTTGCATCACTCGGTTGACTATATTACCTCCATGAAGCTAATGTTCCCAAAGAGATTTAGGAATGAAGGATTTAGGCAAGGGAGAAGTGATGACAAGTGAGATAATTTATGACTCAATAGATAAATGGAGGAAAGTGCTTAGTTCCTGCTATATGGCAGACATTGTGCTTAACCCATTTACAAAATTCATTTCCCTAAAACCCGGAAGCGATTGATATTATTGTTTCTATTTCACATGTGTGAAAACAGACACCCAGAGAGGTTAGAGAGTACACAGTCATCCAAGAATATGTGGGATATGGAATGACAATGACCGGATGGTAGATGATACATATGCAGTCACTGAATGGTCTCAGGTGACTGGCTAAGGGATTTTTGCACCATTTTCAATTGACCTTGAAATAGTCACTGCTGATTTAAAGGCCTGAATGGGATCCAAATCTCAAGCATCATTAGATTCCTAGCTATTTGTTTAATAAAATTTGCTTTTAATGGTAATGATTTATTCATTCTTATTATCAGTATGATTATTTCTAATTTTAAAGTGTTACTATGTAATGAAGAACAAAGTCTTATTTTATAATATGTTTTAGAATTGAGTAAAGCACTATTTTATTAGGAGGATCGGTGGGAAAGTGAAGTCTAAAGTGAAATTTCTTGCTCTGAACAATCTGTTAAATTTCTGTAATGTGCTGATATGTCCATTCATGGCCTGCTGGACTCCCATTGGCTCACTGATGGTTCCCGGACTAATATTTCATGGACTCAGAAATTGTTCATCTTACCACACACTTACTTACCTTTGCGAAACACTCCAGAATCCCAGGACGTTCAACAATGTTAATGATGCCAGCAAGAAGAAGAAGCTTTCTAAATTGCCTTTGTTTAATGTGTTTGGAAACCAATTGCCTGTTTGGAACAAATGTAATTGTTATTCAACTGCAGAGTTGTACGTTTCTGTGAATATTTTATCATTCCACAATTCATAGAGCTTTATTCGCTTCAATAATATCTACAAAGCAAAAAGCTCATCTAAGACTTTATTGTCAACATTCATTTAATTCTGTAATTAACAGTAAAATGATAAGCAAAGCACCCCAAATATTTTGAGGTAAAAAACCAAACCCTGGGTTTGGAAAGTAATCCTGATTATGCTATTAATTTGTAGGAAGCATGTTTGTCTTATTTATCCGTATACTTTCAGTATCTAGAGCAGTGTCAGGCACATGTCAATTGTTTAGTAATTATGTATTGAATGAATGAAAAAAATTTCCACGATTAGAGAGTCTGTTGCATTTGCTAATTGTTAGACAGGTGAGATAATGCAGGTAGATGATAGGTGTTACATTGTTTTAACAACTTAGATAAATCGAGGGCTATTTTATAATACAATGTCCCTATTAGTCAAATTACTTCAATTGCTGATTGACATGGAGATTTTCTTTTGACTCAATGAGTAATTTCTTCAATTTAATACCCCCCAATAAAGTATCCCCTCTTGCTTATGAGGTCAAATTGAGTATATACAAACTTATTCAGGATTCAAGGCAATTGCTTTAGTTTGCTCTTAAATATTGAATATTGATTTAAATCATTGCTATAATTTTCTTTCCATTTTCTATATCTACATGTATCTATGTACACACTCAACATATCTTTAGTGGTTTCTGATACATTACTATTCAATATATTATATATATTACATATGCAACACTCAATTTAAAGCGATACTTCAGAAATAGCAATGACATCTAGTATTAACAACTATACTACAGATATATAATATTATAGAATGTTGAAGTACAAACTTTATCCTTACTGAGAGAACTTAATTCAATTATAGTTCTGAATGGGTGGAATATTTTTTTAAAAGAATTATGCATTAGGAGAGCAGAAACAGGTCAACCTTGAACATTGAAATGCCAACACTTTGGCATTTTGTTGCCTTTTTAAAGGAAAAGCTCCTACAATGGGTGAGGAAGGGGAGTCCGGGACCACAACAAACAGTCTGTGCCTAAAAGGTTGGACCTTCAGTGCCATCTTTGGCAAATGGGTTGTGGATTGCTACTTGCGCTGTAGCAATTGAGAGGCCATTGTTTCTTCGTCTTTCCCTTGACAGTGCAAATGTTTGAGTGGGATTTGAGTTAAATGCTCTGTTCAAGGTTGATAGCCAGCAAGTGCATAAGCACGACAGCTGTGATTAATTGTGCCATTTCCCATTTAAAGCTGTTTCTCTTCTGTCATTTAACTTCCCAATGACCATTATTGTGGATCAACCATGAAAATTAGCTTGTGTCCATTATAGTCTTGGACCCATAAATAAAAGTTGGTACTGAGTTTAGAGCTATTATGCAAGTTCTACTTCCCCATTTTATTAATTTGGTGCCATTACAAAGGAAATTTATGGTTTTATTGCCGTGTTGACATGATGCCTTCATCTGGTGTTTAAATGAGCAGTTTGAGTATTTCCCTACATACCTGTGTATTGGATATTGAGTGGCTCTTGTGTGTGTGCCTGTGTGCGTGCGTGCATGCACAAATATTTGGAACCAAATATTTGGTTGCAATTAAATGGGGAGAGTTGGAGTAGAGGTCAAGATAAGGTGAGATAACATTCCACTTATTTTCAGGAAGAACTAAACTATCCTGCTAGTCCTATTCAAATAGTCCTATTTTCTTTTTCTCTTGAATTAATATCCCAATCATATTTCTGTCCTTTTCATTTCACATCAGCACTTTGCATGTCATGCGATTATACCATTTTATCACCGTGTTTCTCTGGCTAGAGTAAGAGGAGTTTGCACAGAGTATGTGAAGCTTCAGAATTAACATGACATTAATTCTTCTTGGAGCATGAATTTTGGTCCATAATAAGTAATTGAAAAGACTATCGTTATAATATAACAAAGTCAGATGAGGGAGAAGAATATAAATTTTGTAAGATCTTTAAAGGTAAAACATAATATTTCTAAGAGATTGTGCAATTACAGCAAATACCAGCCTTTCAGGAGACAATACCAGATCCACTGGCATGCCAACATTCTTGCTTCTGTCATTGAGGGGACACCATGGCAGGCACAAATGAGAAGCACTGTGACTTGGTATATGAAATGTGGGGTGTCAGGACAGAAGGATGTAACGCTAGCAAGGTTAGAGGAAGGTGGTAGAAATTTAAAGGTATACACAAAACAATTTTGAGAAGAGTTATTTAGGAAATAAAATGGAAGACTGCCATATCACCTATTCAAATTCCTGATAATGCTCTTGTATTCCTTCTTTGATATCATTTTTAGTGTTCAGCTGTCTTGGCAGTGCTGACCTTCACTCTGGTTCCATATTCTTTACTTATTTAGCTATAATGTGACATTGTCTACAGAGCTAACTTACATAGTGAACTCCATGGTAAAGAGAACCATTGTTTGAATTAATTGCATGGGACAAAAACTAACAGCAAGATGGACAGAGATTTTTAGAGCTTGGCTTTACCTATATGGATATTATCTATGTGAAGAGGAATATGGGGTATAAAATGGGGTCTCAGGCAGACAGATTTTGAAGTCAAATCTTGCTTCTATTATTGGGCAGTTTTGTTACTGAGCAAGTAACTGGACCATTTGAGCCTCCGTTTCTCCTAAAATGATGACATCAATACCTCCTTTGATGAGTTGCTACGAGAAGTAGAAGAGATGCTGGTTACCAAGGGCTGGACCCAGCAGATGCACTCCATAAACTTAGATTATCACCCCCTACCCCGTCCCTTTTAGAGGTAGCTCACACGAAAATCAGATAATCAGAGCCTGATCTTGGGCTCGCTTTCTGTTGGATCTTTCCTCATGTTCTGTGTGCCTATTTTTTTTTTTTTTATCATTATCTCAGGACTGGTTGTAAAATGTTCCATTTAACATTGTCAGTTGACTCAGCTCTTAGGTACTATAACTTTATTTTAGTAGCTTATAAACTTTTATTGTCGTAATTCACATTTGTGCCATTTTTCATCTGACATTTCTAGTAGCTGATTGAAACCAGGAGCATCCTTGCAAAAGGAGACAAATACTTCAGGTCTTGAATGAGACTAACTCAACTTTCTAGAACTCTGCTCTTGAGGACAGGAAGGGGACAGCATGAGAAAGAAGGGCCCACATAAGAGTCTGGTGGCTCATTCATCAATGCTCACAGCAATCCCTAGTTCTGTGTTAATAATGTAAACTGCTAGTTTGTAATGAGTGTTAGACTGTTGAGGTAGCAGAGCACCGGTGAAATACTTGGAATTGGGTGAAATACTTGGCATTGTTCAGAATTCCCCCAAATAGCACTTACTCAGCTTTATCTATGTGTTCATTGAAAATCACTTTTTAGAAATTTCCGTGCGCCAGGAAGTGGATATTCCAAGTTGCTTAAGAGAAGAAATTAATTAGAAAGGGACATGATACTAATACTCCGGAGCATTAGACTAAATAAAACTAAAATGTTTCTATTTATGTTAACTTATATGGCCATTTTAGTAATAAACAGACCACAGAATCCTCTAGACCAGTTCTTTTATTTTATAGACTGACTCACAGAAAGGTAAAGCGAGGTAGGACTCAGCAGAGCCCTCATCTTCCCGCCCTTACAACAAAGGTCCTGTGATAGTCCCTTACTAAGGGAATTGCCATTGTTATGAATTTTCTTAGCTCCACAGTTAAAAATGTCCAGGTGGCAGTCTTTGAAATAGCTTTACCCAAGTTCTTTCTTAAACACCCAGTACAATACAATACAAATCCTGGGACTCACATTCAACCAACTGTGTGGGCTTTGAAGAAATTTACATTACATTTACAGTTGTTAAAACTTTATTGAGAAACATATATACATGGAGGCCCACACATGCTATGTTACTGAAAAAACATGACGTTGCTAATATGAAAGGGAAATACATTGTATTCTACTCCGATTGTATGCCCTATATTTGAGGCCATAAATTTCATGTTCTGCTTTGAGTGTCTCAGCCTCACAGAGCCCCAAAGGCCTAACTGTGTGTTTCCCAGTTCTCGTTACATATGCTCCCCATCCCGAAGGAAAAGTTCCCACATGATTAGTTCCCCTCTTAGCCAGATCAGCTGCAGTTTACCTAGGCCACAAGCTGACAGATTTCACTTCCCTGCCAGCCCTCAAGATTATTCAAACAAACCAATCATGTCCTTCTGTAGGAATCAGGGCTCACCACATTCCTTTGTTACTGCAAAACCTGCACCCTATGCACCCTGCTTTTTCACACTATTGTTGGGCACCACCCCCGTGGGATCCTGCATGGCAAACTGAACCCTCTTCTCCCTTAATGTAAGTATATATAACCAGTAAACTGCTGTAATTCATCTATGTCCAGTTCAGAAGTATGTTTTCAGCCACCTCATCCTATTTGGGGAGCAGTGGGGAGTGCCTTCCTTACCAAGTGGACTAATAGGAGGTGACCAGAATATGCTCCCACCACAGAAATCAAGGTCAGTTCTAGAAAGAATATTAGTAGCCATGACTCTGGTGCATAATTACTGATTTTTTTTTTCTGATGGAAAGGAGGAAGGAGTATTCCTAGCTCTTCCTCTACACCACTACCCAGTACCAAATATTTCTACATCAGGGAGAGCAACTCCCATGAAACCACAGGACAAGAAGCAATGAGAACAGAAGACAGGCAGGGTATGCTCCATAAAGGAGGTTTTATACTCAGAATTAAAATGTAGGTATGAATTCTGGGTGGATAAGATAGCCAGTAATTCTTGACACTGTACTCTACAATCATTCTATCTGAGCAGTGTTAGGGAACCTGAAGGTGCTATGGTTAGACTTCTCACTTTAGCCAAGCAGTCTAGTTGCTACAATAACTTGGGCTTTAGTGGCACACATTCACTGTAGACCAACAAAAATATCTA